TCTGAAGCCATTGGTGCAATGGAGGTATGTCTCCACGCATTCGTAATTTCGATTATAGGTGGAGGTGAATGGTCAATTTCAAACCCAGAGTGATTTGTCCCCGTAAACATGTACGAATAGTGAGATTTTTAAAGCCTTCAACTATGCAGATAGAGACAGGACGTTTTGCCGAATCGTTGGTATCTGCCTACAAATTCACATGACGTTACAACCCAGAAGACCAACATGGGTCAGGATTTTACCTTTCGTACACCTAACTGCAGATAATGAAATTTAAAACAGAAACTACATGTACTACCTCCACTAGAACTTCGTCAACAACTCTATTTGAGACTATATATATATATATATATATACATATTAATATATATAATTATAGTAGTTTCCCTTTATTATGTATGAAAGAATAACATTTGATAGAGGGTCATGTTTTAAATATCTTAATACAGCCGTCGCCTAAAGACTATTTACGAGAGCAAAATAAATTTCACAACTTCACGTTCACTAACACAGTACAAATCAAACATTTTTAAAGCAATTGTTTCCATTTCTATTCCGGCACACCTAGGCGTAAATTACAGAATACTGAGGGATTTTTAAAGAAATAGGTTGTAACTATCAGCTGTTCAATTAAGAACCTCTATAAGAAACGTCTACGTTACATAATAAAATAATTATATAACAAGAAGTACTTCATCGGTAGGATTTGAAGTTCTCGTGGTGACGAGTATGAAGAGGGCTGTCTTCTGAGATGTAGCGCCTTGTAGTCTGGTAGAAGTTTATTGACTTTTCAGAGGTACTTGGTGCCTCCAGCATCCCCCTGATGATGGAGGCAGCAAAGACCTACCAGACTACACGGCGCTACAACCCAGAAGACATCCATCTTTCTACTTCAAGAGACTCTGAGACTAAGAGACTTTGGGGAGCAGTGGCACAGTGTAATGACAATCGGACACGCGTGCTGTTATACGAGATATGTGAAGAGACGCAACTGTTTCCCTGTTTCAGCTCATCGGTCCTCAGTTCATCCAGGCCATTCAGCCGTCCCTTGAAGACCGCTGGACACCAGAGCTCCAGGAAGCCTGGATTCATCTGTTCAAGTATATGGCGTACGTCATGAAAACGTCCATGGGCGAGGAAGAACAGCGGATTAACTCACAACAATGAGGAATGTGGATGAAGAAGTTACGAAGATCCATTTCAAAACGGAAACCCTCGTTACAAGACATTGGGCAGAGTTCTTGCAGCGAAGAACATGCAGAGTGAATTCTGCAGACTGCCAGATCAAGGATTTGTCTTCACTGAAGGGGAACTTGCGTATTCCTTGGTATTAACTAAAGGATGCTGATTCAGTCGATTCATACTACAGTTTATCTCTCTAATGCCCATTTAAGTCCTATCCATTTACAAACCAAAATTTTTTTTAATTTTTTTCGTCTTGTCTACCTTCTGACACTTTGACATAATTATTCCTGATCATCTACCACTACCTATAAGATGAAATACTGCCTGAATGTGGCTTCTAATAGTCCTCAAAGGCAGACCGACCGCTTGATGAACTTACTAATTCGCCCCTACGATACGTAATATTTTCATTTGTCTGTATAGCAAATAAGAAAATATTCTTAAATGGGATTTGAAGTTCTAAGAGCGATGATCACGAAGATGGCTCTCTTCTGGGTTGTAGCGCCGTATATTCTGATAGAAGTTCTTACTGCCTCCATCAACAAGGCGATTCTCGCCCTGATGATGGAGGCAGCAAGGACCACCGAAACGCTTCTAGCGTTTGCCAGACTATACGGCGCTACAACCTAGAAGACAGCCATCTTCGTAAATATTTTCAAATTCGAACGAATGTAGAAGAACACGCAGGTATGAAAATAGAGATTTATTGTAATACAAGTATCATGTTTAATTGTTCTCAATGTGTTCCTCAGCTTATGTTGAGATATAGGCCTACGTCAATGTTTTTAATGATACATAACAACTATAAGAGCCTATCTAACGGGCTTACGTTGAAGACAATGCTGAAACCAATCTTGGCTTAATCTACGTAACTTCATACGTACTACATGGCCCTCCCATCCTCATTTTCCTTTGAATTGTTATCTTAATATTTGGTGAATATCCCCGTTACGCAGTTTTCTTCAGTTACTGTGTCAATATATCGACTATTTAAAACTATGATCCTTGCTGTTTCAACCACTAATAGCTAAATAATCTTGCAGAGACAAACGAGGCTGTCAGTATCCAAGGAAAACGTAGTTCCCCTTAGTGATAACAGATTTTTTTCAAAAACGAAGTGGTGATATGGATTTTCGTAACCAGGTCGCACACGGCAAGAGAATCTAATAATATATAAGCCGCTGTCACCTTTCAATGTGCAAACATCTATGTGCATGAAAAATATTTAATGTTGACCTGACAAATTATTTTTAATATAGACGCTATGTTAGATGAATTAAGTAAAATACATAGCTTCGGCTTGTAAGGGGGCATTACAGTTAAGTTTTCCTTACGATAACGAACTGAGGCGGGAGAGACGGGCACTCCTTCAGTGAAGGCGGGCGTAAGATCGCTTCACGGTTGCATTGTCTAAAAAACACATTGTATATTAATATATCTAACGCGTGCAATCGTGCTGCTATAAACACTGTATTCTATACTAAAACAGTTTATCTGTACTATCATGGTGTAAGACCCGCCAAATTTTATGAGAAATAGGATAAATATATTTAAAAAACGATTAGATATATTTTATTGATACAGGGATAGAAATTGTCTTGCAGCTTTATCTGATATTTAGGCCAACTTTGGGTATTAACTGATTAATCCGAACACAACATTAAACTGAAGCGTGTGGGCAAATAAAAATTTTGGACTCTTAGTATTCAAATTCGAAAAATTATTTGTAACAAGTTAGGAAATGTACGCAAAGATTCTGGCATGCTCGCCAGAATTTTATATTTGACCTTTGGGAATGTCGCCAGTGACGTCAGATTTGTCCGCATGGCTACGATTCCCCAGGTAACCATGATAACCAAAGTAAAGGAGCATCACCACCGAGTCTATCGAAGAAATGCAAGAAGTTCTTCGTCCCAAAGTGCCTGTTGCAGTTTTCCTATTTCAACACAAACTGAAATGCAAAGATTAGTTTTTGGTAATATTTCTCTAGTATCAAATTTCTTTAAAAATCTTTTAGCCATTCTTGGGTTGTTACACTCGGAAAGGCAGACAGACATGGAGAAGTTACAGGCGCGTTCTTGCCACTTTTAATTGCGTGAGCACAGGATAACAAGAACTTTTAATGTAATTTTTCTGAAGTTCTAATGTCTGCTAAACGTGTAGGTGCCCGTCGACTCCAAAGACAGATATAGCCCCTTCTTGCGTATAAATATCTGATCCCTGCCCTAATATGTGTCAAGATGTCCATGATCAAGCCAAGAAGTACAGAGTGTGATGTCTGCTTCAAATGAACTTTGAACCATTTATACCATCGTAAAGTGAACTGAACACTCGTGTAAACTCTTACTTGGGCGAATTGTATAAGTTGTGCTAATAATATATCTACTTCTGACATACAGTTAACAGTTATTTGTAAAATAAATCTTTTGTTTCTAATCCTAAAATAAGTTTCATTGTGAATTTACATAACACATAGTGCCAATGTGGAAAGCTCTTCATATGGAAATAAAACGTCGAAGCAATGGACTCGTAAGACGAGAGTTTAGCAGGAAAGTACACATATTTTATGTCTCCCTTTTATGTAACTTCTCCGTGCACACAATTTTAAGGGTTCCCCAAAAAACGGAAACTCATAACCTAAGATTGAGACAAAAATTAGTAAAATGGCGTAAAGAAGTTTCCTTCTCTATAAATTTTAAAATGTGAAAATAAAGAATGGATGAAATTTCAGTGAAAAAAGGCATCTTATGAAGATGAAATTTCAGAGATGCGTGTTGCCTTTTGATCTGATGATGGAAACAGCAGGTACCTCTGAATTATACTCGTCTCAGTAAGAACCTGAAATCTAACAATAAATTTTGTTTGGAAGGTTTCAGAATTCGTAGTCGCAAATAAAGCACATTAACTAATGTACTGCTTCGTGAAGGTTGGTCCAAAATATAGGCTTAGTAAAAAGAAAAACTTTTGACAAAATGGGATAAAACTGCTTTATGTAACGTCGGTATACACGCACAATAATTTTATAACAAATTTATACTCATAAAGATTTTGTGTCGCCATTAAACGCAGTGGAAATACTGAATGATCTTTAAAAGTAACAGAAGGCATTTAGACTTAAGTATGTAAAAATTGCTTCAGCAACAAATGACTTTGTTTATTACATAATGCGTACACACTGGCCAATATGTGATACTGTTCACATGGCTTTAAGCTGACATATGTTACAAACGTACAATTTAGGGTTATTTATGAGTCGTTACTAAAGTGCGAGGCATATCACAAAGGCAGTAAAAGGGAACCTAAACATAAGTAACCAATCTTAAACACTGTGGTACTCTTATGTGTAAGTAGATAGACCTAGTTGTATCTAACATTATTAATAGAATATCGTAAATAAAATGTTAATGTGAATAAATATATAAATAAATCAATATTATAAGGTATATACTATTCTTTTATTAGAAAATCTTTATACGTTATCAAAACCTTTCTATCGTAGCAAAAACTGGTATATAAAATAAAACCAATATCACGTAATGACCTTACTTGAATTTTCTTTATATGGTGTATATTGAAATAGAAAGAAAACAAATTAATTTCGCTTTATGCTTTGTACTTTATAAGAGTCGTAAACACACTTCAGATACAACCTTCAGTCATTTTACGTCCCATTTACTCATGGGCCTAATTAATTATCCGTTCCCTTAGTTTCTCTCTCCCTTTCCTTGATTTTATTCCGCTCGCAAATTGCTACGCCAGTCCCTGCGACGAAAAGCTGTCTTCTCGGTAGGCTCTACAAGAATTCGTGAAATGGAAGGAATTCTGTATGCTCATTACACAACATTACTGCTGTTCGCTCAGCTCAAAAGAGTTTAAAAAAATTCTTCTTCTTCTTCTTCTGGAACATAAATTGTCTTGCCTTGCTCGATTCAACTCCATGTTTTAGCGTAACCGAATAAATCAGACACGGAAGGACGCTGAATAAATGTTTAAATTTATGAAGGGCAAACCAGGCGAATTTAACTTTACCCGACTCTACGAGAATTCATAAAGCAGACATCCATTACAAATTTAATAAAACACGCATAAAGTCAAAGTTAAGTAACACAACTTAAGTCTTTTTTATTATGTACGAGTCGGTAAAAATAATCAATACAACACAAATAGAGATGGCTCTCGTTACACGCGCTTTCACTATCCGCGTATTTTTAAAGAGCAAAAATTATTAAGCTCCTTATTTTGTAGATTTCCATTCTTTGCTTCTCTCCCTTAGGTCCGAACATTCTTCTCAATACGTTGATCTCAAATAACATCAATATTTGTTCTTCCTATAAGTTTAGGGACAAGTTTCAGCCACATGTACGTAAAAGTTTATCTGTAATAATAGTTCGGTTCAATATAAATGTATCAAGCCTAAATATAACTTCTTTCACTCTCTTGAAGTGAAGTTCAAAACTCAATTTTTGGTTGAAACCTGCGGCCAATGCTGATTCTTTAATATATCTACATTGGGCTGGTGTATACTGCAACACCCTTGAAGTTGAGCTAGGAAGAACTTCACAGCAGCGCTACTCGTTAACTCGGACACCTTAGCATTTATTTACATTTTAAAACTCAACCGCTACAGCTGTAAATTAAGACGATTAGCATTTTATGAGTTGGGGCCCAATCTCAAAGTGTAATGGATAAGATCCCAGCGTAAATATTTGTAATTGCCTTCCATAAAAACTTGAAAAGTCGGTGGTGGCTGTCTCTTAAAAGACGCCGGAATTATTTCACTAATTTATTCCCAAAGTTCTTGTACAAGGCTGTTAAAGACAACAGTTTCATCAGGACATAAAAATTCTATTAACTGAAAACGCAGTCCTTAATTGATCAGATCTTTACTGAGGTGGGTTCGAATTCCGCTCGGCGCACCGAATTCGTTTTCCCTTATTCAATGATAATTGTTGCGTGAGTTTTCCGACAGTCTGATCACCCATATAAGGAATTATACAGAGTAAATGACAGTATTCTGGGACTTTGGGGCCTCATAGTTCGTAGAAATTTATGAACGTTTTAGTATTTAGTGATGATGCTCGGATTCGAACCGACAACTCCAGAGCATCAACCGATTCAATGGATCAATTGCTAGTATTCAAGACTATTATTCAAATGGTTATAATTGATTACTACGAGTCACGAAATACAATAAGTTTCAAAGCTTTATTTAAATCATCAAACCGATTACGACTGAGCTGAAGACACTTGTGAGCGATCGTTAAGTTCAAACGACATTATTCCTTCCGTGCCGTGGATACAGAACGGACGTGTGATATGAATGCGTATGTCTCCCTTCAGGAACATAATGAAGTTGTCTGCTGGGAGAAGAATGGCTTCCCAAGGGACTCTATATACAGAGTGTCCGGTGACTTTATATCAGTACTTCAGGACTTTATTCGCGAGCCCATTCCCAATTATAAATGCATTATGAGTCCAACGGCTAAGGCACTATGAAGAGAAACGGAAGATGATTCGAAATACA